CTCCCACCTCACTGACCAATCCTCAGCACTGCCTACCTGCACTCACTTATCACTATCCCACCTATCTTCACCAGCCCCACCCCTCCTCTCTCTATTTATTTCAGAGCTCCCTTCCCCCTCCACCATTTCTGAAAAAGGGTCTCGACTTGAAACGTCAACTTTCCTGCTCCCCTGATGCTGCTTGGCCTGCTGTGTTCCTCCAGCTCCGCACTGTGTTATCTCTGACTCCAGCATCGGCAGTTCCTACAATCTCTGGCTCTGATACTACCTTTGATGGATCATTGTTCCACAAAACAAAGGCACTTATTACTTGATTCCCTTCCAGGTTCCTGTTGTCTCAGAAGCTGAGAATGCTTACATTTTTAGAAGGGCCCACTGTGTGGTCTCTGAGTTGTTACATCAATCTGTTTGTCTTTCGGGCTGTGATCCATCAACAGTGAGAGTCATGGGAACTTCGGGGAGCCCAGATTTCACTTTTATCTCCCAGGATTTTGTTTTATTTTTCAATATATGAAATATTATAATTACCCATTGGAGACACTAACTGCCTACCAAACCACCTCCAGACCACTCTCCCCAACCACTCCCCTGCTACACTGACACCCTCCCAAGTTACATCCCTCCCTTCCTGTCACCTCACCCAGATACCCCCTCCCAGCAGCAGAGTTTGGAATGAACTCTCATGGTTTGTTTTCCCATGACATCTCCAGAAGCAAGAAGAACTTTTGCTTTGAGTTGCTTTTGTTCCTAACTCACACTGAACCAACCTCTGTACTGTACAGATCCACACACTCGGGCCAGTCACAGGCGGAAATCTGTGCTAACTTGATGGCTCCAATTGTACTGCTGCCTGGCAACGTGGCAGAGAAACAAGAGTGTTGCTAAGTGTTAGTGAATACCAACGAACAACTTGGCCAACACTGTGGGCAGCAGTTGGTGAAGAGGAAGAAAGACCCTCTGTGTGTTTAGCAAGCCACGTGCTCACTGAATACAATGGCACTGGAATCTGCTGAGGTCGAATGTAGGAGTTTCCCAGGATTGATTTTCATTCATTGTCACAGAGGCAACTTCTCCTGAGAACATTCAGAATCACACAATTGTTACAGCTCTGAAGGAGGCCATTCTGCCCATGGTCTGTGCATGGGCTCACTGAATGAGCAAAACACACTGGGCCACTGTCTCTCCTTCTCCTCAGATCGCTGCACCTTCTTCCTGTTTCAGGTAATAATCCAGTTCTCCCCAGAATGCTGTGATTGAGCTTGCACCCTCACATTCCCCCTACCCCGACCTCCCCCTCACACACACACACACACACACACACACAGTATTATCGCTGGATTGTTAATCCAGAGACCCAGGTAACGTTCTGTGGACCTGGGTTTGAATCCCGCCATGGCAGATGGTGGAATTTGAATTCAATGAATATGTGGAATTAAGAATCTAATGATGACCGTGAATCCATTGTCGATTGTCGGGGAAAAAGCCACCTGGTTCACTAATGTCCTTTAGGGAAGGACACTGCCTACATGTGACTCCAGACTCACAGCAATGTGGTTGACTCTTAACTGCCCTCTGGGCAATTAGGAATGGGCAATAAATGCTGCCCAGCCAGTGATGCCCTTATCGCATGAATGAATAAAGGAAAAAAAAATGTCTCTCACACACACTTTGTCTCTCTCTCTCTCTCGCATACATACAATCCTTCCTTTAATGGAAACAGGTGCTCCTGACCTACTCAGCTCCGACCCCTCATAATTTTGAATACTTGACGGCATGTCCTCTCACCTTCTCTGCTAGAAGGGAAACAGCCCCACAGTCTCCAAGTAATCCACATCACCGAGGTTCCTTAACCCTGGAAGCATTCCCATCAATCTCTCCAACATCTTCACACGACACAAAGGGCACAGGCCTAGAAGCGGACAGAGCTGTACATGTTTTCCAAGCAGAAAAGGGCATGGTGGGCAGTGAAGACAGAGCACCACAGGATTCATTGCCGGGATGCAGTGATTCACAATATATGTTAATGATTTTGATGAAGGAAACTAAATGTCATATCTCAAAATTTGCACATGACACAAAACTGCATGGGAGGTTGAGCTGTGAGGAGGATGTAGAGATGTTGCAATGTGGATAAATGTGTAGCAGATAGAATCATTGAGACGTACAGCACAGAAACAGACCCTTCAGTCTAACTTGTCCGCACCCGCCAGAGATCATAAACTAATCTAGTCCCATTTGCCAGCAATTGGCCTATCTGCCTCTCAACCCTTCCTATTCATGTACCCATCCAGATGCCTTTTAAATGTTGTAATTGTACCCACTTCCACCACTTCCTTTGGCAGCTCATTCCATACACGCACCACCCTCTGCATTAAAAAGTTGCCTCTTTGTTTCCTTTAAATCTTTCCCCTGTCACCTTAAACCTATACCATCTAGTTTTGGCCTCCTCTAGCCTGAGAGAAAGACCTTGGTTATTCACCGTATGCGTGCCCCTCATGATTTTACAAACCTCTATAAGGTCACCCCTCAGCCTCCATTGCTCCAGGGAAAATAGCCCCAACCTATTCAGTCTCTCCCTACAGCTCAAATCTTCCAACCCTGTCAAGATCCTTGTAAATCTTTTCTGAACCCTTTCAAGTTTCACAGCATCCTTCCAATAGCAGGGAGACCAAAATTGTCCGCAGTATTCCAACAGTTGCTTAACCAATGTACCGTACAGCCACAACATGACCTCCCAACTTCTATACTCAATGCACTGACCAATAAAGGCAAGACTGCCAAATGTTTTCTTCATCACCCTGTCTACCTGTGAATCCACTTTCGAGGAACTATGCACCTGCGCCCTTAGATCCCTTTGTTTTCAGCAATAATGTAGAAAAATGTAAAGTTATCCACTTTGGTAGCAAAGATTGGAAGGATGATTATTATTTTAGTGGCAATAAATTGAGAGAAGAAAATGATCATTAAGACTTATGTGTCCTCCTGCACCAGTTACTGAATGTAAGTGTGCAGGTGCAGCAGGCAGTAAAGAAGGTACAACATATGTTGGTCTTCACAGTGAGAGTGTTTGAGTATACAAACAGGGATGTCATGCTGCAGTTAGACAGGACAGTGGTGAGACCACACCTGGAACGTTTTGACCAGTTTTGGTCTCCTTACCTGAGGAGGGATGTTCTTGCTGCAGAGGGAGCGCAGCAAAGGTTGACCTGATTGATTCCTGGAATGGCAGGACTAACACATCAGGAGAGATTGAGTCGATTGAAATTGGATTCACTGGAGTTTAGGAGATTGAGGGGGAATTTACAGAAACCTGTATAATTCTAACAGGATTAGACAGGTTAGATGCAGGAAGGATGGTGGGGGAGACCAGAACCAGGAACCATAGTTTAAAGGTTTGGGGGAAACCCTTTTAGGACTGAAATGAGGGGCAATATCTTCATCCAGACAGTGGTGAGCCTGTGAAATATATTACTACAGATATAGTTCTTGTGGCTAGAGGTATCAAGGGATATGGGGAGAGGGTGGGATTAGGGTATTAAGCCCAATGATCAGCCATGATTATACTGAATGATGATGCAGGCACGAGGTGTTGAATGGCCTGCTCCTGCCTCTATCTTCTATGTTTCAATGTATCCATGTTTTGATGTTTCCATGTATTTATTTTCTATGATCCTTTATTTCTATCTCTCTAAATTTGTATGTATCAATGATTCTGTTTCAATGTATATTTCTATGTAACCATGTTTTCTATGTATCCATGTATCTACCTATATCTGTTTCTATCTATCTATGTTTCCACGTTTCCTTGTATCTCTGTTTCAGTGCTACATAAATGCCTTTGATATGATGAAGAAGAAACATGCTTAACACAATCTCTCTGCCATATGGGTCCAGGCAAACAAAGAGGTGTCTGGGGCCTGGAATGGACTTCAGGACCTTTGCATGGGTGAGGTGACCTATCTGGTGCCCTATTGTAAGGCAGGGATGTCTTGAGTTAACCAGTCCTTGCAGTGGTGAGGGAAAATGCTACGGAGAGCCCCCAAAGGGCAGTTATTATCGACCACTGCTTTCAGTCACTTAGAAGGTAAGTTTTAAAAATATACTTCACTGAAGGTGGAACTGGGAGGTGCGCCTGGCCAATCTTTAACATTACCACACCTGCACTAAAACCCACTACAGACTGTCCCTCTCATCCCTTCCTATCCATTCCCCCTCAGTGATCCAGTGGTGATCACTGTAACCAGTGACTCAAACATGTTGGTTCCAGAGGTTCCAAATCTCCAACCCCCCTACTCCACACAGACATACATAAAACATGACTTTAGTAGATAAAAAACAGAAATATTCCCACATCATATGACACTAGAAATCTGCTCTCAATTGCAATTCGGGTCTGTGTGTGTGTGTGTGTGTGTGTGTGTGTGAGAGAGAGGGAGAGAGAAACCAAGTATGTGAGTGTGTGTATGTGAGTGTGTGCACACGTGAGAAACAGTATGTGAGTGACTGTGTGTGTGTGTGTGAGAAACAGTATGTGAGTGAGTGTGTGTGTGAAAGAGAGAGAGAAACTGAGTATGTGTGTGTGTGTGTGAGAGAGAGAAACAGAGTATGTGAGTGAGTGAGTTTGTGTGTGTGTGAGAGAGAGAGAGCAAGTGTGTATGTGTGTGAGCATGTGTATGTGTGGGAGAGCAAGAGTGCATGTGTGCGTGTGTGAGAGAGAGCGAATGTGTGTGTATTTGTGTGTGTGTGAGAGAGAGAGAGAGAAAGAGAGAGAGAGTGTATATGTGGGTGAGAGGGGGTGTATGCGACAAGGTGTGTGTGAAAGACAGTTACTGCTGGTGCGGGGGGGGAATGGTGAAATGAGTTGACTGAATGAATACCGAGTGAAGGTGACTCAATTTAAGTTCAGGTATAGATCAACCACGTTGTAATGGAATGGGTTTTATATACATTTATTTCAAAAAAGGACAGAAAAAAGCAAGGTGAGTAGAACAGTCACTTGGAAGTTTCAGCTTAAGCATAATGGACAGTATGGCCTGCTGTACTCTATGTTTCAATGACCTACTTCAGTTCCTATGTTCATCTGCAGCTGATCTACCTGGTTATTATTCCATAATCACATCTCTTTTCACTCTGATTAAGAAATATTTTAAATGAAGGTTACATATAACTGGCAATGTCTGAAAGGTTAGGTTCCTTCAGTTTGGGAAGCATAATTCTCACACCCTCGATGACCTTGTGGATCTGTGAGCCAGTCATCAGGAGCTCAGTCCCTGGGCCTTGCAGCTGAGCTTGTGCACAGGTCTCTCTTACAAACGGGATCAGGGGAGCCATGCTGTACATGTGCTGTGCCTGAGCCTTCAATGCACTTACTCGCCCATGTAGAGCTGACAGGTGCTGGTAACAGTACTTGAGTTTACATTGCACGTTGGCCAATGCACCACGGGATTTTTTGATCTTTAGTAACTCTGCCTTCACCACACTGAGGCTCTCTGCTGTCTTTTCCCTTTTCTTCTCCAACTCAGGGAACTGACTGTTGAGTTTCTCCATTTCCTCCTCATCCTTTGTGATGTTTGCTTTCACATGAGAGAGATCCTCCAAAGCTATGTCCACTTCAGACTTCCTGTACAGTCGCTCCTTCTCAAAGGCAACTGCCATAGGGATCCCTGGAGGGAAAATCAAAAACATAACCGTCAGGCTAAAGTGACAGACAAGTCCTCCACTGTAAAACGCCCAAGACTGTCCCTCTTACCAATCCCAACCAGCACCTTCTAACCCCAGTGAGACTCAATCAATAAATAAATAAATCAATCAAAACTGACATTACACTCTGAGGTATCACACATTCCAAACCCAGAAGTTCCCCAAAAGCTCTCCATGGTGGTCAATCCCACCAAAAGCTTATCATTTCTGTCTGTGTTGAATTCCACAAGAACCCCACATAACATGAAATTTAAGAATCTTGTCCTGGTCTATAAGTTCTTCTCTGTGTTTTGAACATATATGCTTGTGGATTGTGAGACTGCATGTGGTAATGACTAAAAAAACATCCATTTTTGTGATGTTAATCATAGGGTAAATATTAGCCAGTACACCAGGAGGATCATCCCGAATAGTGTGTGAACAAATGCCATGGGACCTCCTGTACATATATGCCTTTACATAGTGAAACATTACAAGGTGCTTCATCACAGGAGAGGCCTAACATCAAACCACATTGGGAGGAATAAGATCAAAGGTTTTGTCATTTTCAGAAGAGTCATCTGGCTCAAAATATTAAGTCTTCTTCTCTTGACACAGATGCTGCCAGACCTGCTGGGTTTCTGAACACATTCTGTTTTTAGAAATAGGTTTTAAGGAGTACCTTAAGGATGGTGAAAGATAGCAAGGTGGAGAAGTCTAGGGAGGACTTTGAGAAAGTAACAAGCAGCATAGATAAAGGTGAACCAGCAGACGTAATATATTTGGATTTCCAAAAGTCATTTGTCAAGTTACCACACGTTATGCTGTGTAATAAGATAAATGCCCATAATGTTGAGAGTAGTATATTGGATAGAGGATTGGCTAACGAATAGGAGAGAGAGAGATGAGATAAAAGGGATATTTTCAAGATGACAACCTGTAACGAGTGGAGTGCCAGGGGGATTAATGCTAGGGTTACAATTATTTATAATATACATCAATGACTTGGATGAGGAAAGGGAATATACTGTAGCCCAGTTTGTAAAAGACACAAAAATAGGTGGGATAGCAAGGTTTAATTTCCCCTCAAAGCTGCATGGCTCTGATATTCCATGCAAAGCCTCAGCACCAGCAAATCGACCATGAGATTAACTGGCAGTTCCAGAAGTTGCTGCCACACTAAGACCTTAGAGAGACCTGTGCAGCTGGTAAGAACATTAGAGGAAATGCTGGTGAGGATGAAAAGGGTTATGGACAGGTTATTTGATAAGAATCTGACAAATCAAATATGACGTGGGAAAATGTGAGGCAATGCATTTCGGCAGGAAGAATAGAGGAACTGAATATTATTTAAATGGGGAAAGACTGCAGAAAGTTTCAGAGCAGAGGGATTTGACGGACCTCATGCCTCAAACACAGAAAGCTGGCATCCACATTTTGTGGGTAATAGGGAAGGCAAATGGAGAGTTGGCCTGTATTTCAAATGGAATAGTGTATAAGTATAGGGAGGTCTTGCTAAATACATACAAGGCACTAGTTAGACCACACCTTGAATACTGTGAACAGTTTTGAGCCCCTTATCTAAGGAAAGATATACTAGCATTGAAGGCAGTCCAGAGAAGGTTCATTAGGTTCATATCAGGTATGGAGGGACTCTATTATGTGGAGTGGTTGTGAATATTGCATCTGTATTCAATGGAGCTTAGAAGGATGAGAGGCAACCTTATTGAAACATACAAGATTCTTAGGGGGGCTTGATGGGATAGATGTGGAAAGTTTGTTTCCTCTTGTGGGAGAGTCTAGGACCAGAGTGCATCATCTCAGAATAAGGGTTTACAAATTTAAAGCAGAGAGGAGGAATTTCTTCTCTCAGAGGGTAGTGAATCCACAGAATTCTCTACCGTAGATAGTAATTGAAGTTGGGTTGTTAAGTATAAGGTTTTTAATCAGTAAGTGAATCGAGGGCGATGGGGAACAGGCAGGAAAATGGAGTTGAGGATTATCAGAGCAGCCATGATCTCATTGAATGGCAGAGCAGACTCGGGCTGAATGGCCTGATTCTCCTGCAGCATATGGTCCTCTGGAAATTTCAGGGCATGGGGCCCAGGCAGCCGAAGGCATGGTCATGAGTGATGGTGTGACTAAAATAGGGGATGCACAAGGCTAGAATTAGAAAGATGCAGAGATTGTGGAGGATTGTGGGGCTGGACGACGTAACAGTGAATAAGAGGGTGAGGCCACAGAGGAGTTTAAACATAAGACTGAGAATTTTAAAATTGAGTTGTTTCACGAGGAGCGAATGTAGGTCAGTGAGCATGGGGATGAATTGTGGCAGAGCTTGGTTTGCATTGGGATAGCAGCAGCAGAATTGTACATGAATTAATTCAAATCCCTAGAGAATTGAAGTTGGAAGATGGTGAGGAGTGGGGTGGAATAATTAGTGTCTGACATCACTATGGGTTTTATCATCTGAGGTGGGGGCAGGAGCTGGGTGATGGTGTGGATGTTATGGTCAGTCTTTGTGCAAATCAATACTTTATTCTCCTTATAAATATCTTACCGATACAGGGGATAACAAAACTCAGGCCGATTCCGATATCTCTCCCAGTTTGTTTTTCTCCCTTTTTGGCTCTGGATCCCCTCAGGGTCTGCTCCATTTGTTTCCGTGAAACAGCAGCTGCCTGGAGCTGCCCCTCAATCCGTTTCCTCTGATCCTGCACCTCCGCCAACTGATCCTGCGTGCACTTAAGGCATTTCTGCAGCTCCTTCTGTTCTGTGCTCAGTTTGCCGTGCTGAACCATCAGCTTCTCACAACTGGTGTCAATGCCATCTACAATCCTACTCGCAGCCTCTTCCGCTGACAGGATCTCTCTTTGTGCAGACTCAATCTCAATCTTAAATTGTTTACTTTCGGCTTCGCTGAGATCCCCTGTTCCGGCACTGACTGCAAGTTCAAGAAGGGACAGGATGGAAGAGATCCCTCTAAGGAAAGAGGGGTAAATGGCCTCTTTGCAGTCCCTTTCGTGCACCTCACAATCTTCCATCGTGCTCAGGGTTAATCTGCAGCAACAGAGGAGATGGACATCAATCAGTATCGATGGAGGACAGAAAGTCCAGTGACACTACCATCGTTTCAGCTCCACAGCTGAGGGAATTGGACAGGGCTGGGTCGGCAGGAATTGGTCTCTGAGGTAGAGAAAGAGGTGGAAATAGGAGGTGGCAGCAGCAAGAGGACAGTAGTCAGGAGAGAAGATAGGGTATTAAACGAGAAGCAGACGGAGATAGTAGAAAGTAAGAGATGAGAAGGAAGTGGAGGCAGATGTAAGGAGGTAAGAAATAGATAAAAGTATTTCATTACAGGGTGAGTGTTTGATCTTGGGTATGAATAAGTGCTGCACAGGGCTAGGCAAACCCTCAACTGCCTGTCTATCTTTTGGGAGTTGACAGCATCGGCACAGTCCTGGGCACAAGCCACCACCACTCTTCCAACCTTAACCCAGTGTACAACTTCCCAATGCTGTCATCACTATCCCATTACGACACCTATCCCTTCCCTCTTTCCCTCCAAACCCAAACTTTGTCTATTATGACTGCAGTTACTTCCCCCGCGATATACTCAGGATCTAGTCACCTTTCAGGAAGCAGGGGAAGACGCAGAATAAAGGAATCAATTCTGAGTGAGAGTTGGCTAGAGGGAGAGACAATGGGCCTTGTGGTCTCAGGATAAATTGCTGGTCTTTTCACACTGAGAGAAAGAGAAATGTCTTTACTCAGACAGATGTGAATCTTTGGAATTCTCTGCCCCAGGGAGCTGGACATGCTGAGATGTTGAGTATATTCACGGCAGAGATTGATAAGATTTTCAAACACTAAGAGGCTCAGGGGATGTGGGGACATGGCAATGGAGGTGATCTGTAACCTTTCTTTCTCACTGTCAACCACCCAGCCAAACTTTGTGATATCCACAAACTAATCTTCCCTGCACATTCTCATCTCCATCATTGATGAATATCACAAACAGTAAGGGACCGAGCACTGATCCCTGTGGTATGCTGCTGCATGCTGGGCTCCAGTCACACAAATAGCCTTCTACAACTACCCTCTGTCTCCTGTCACTATGCCAATTTTGGATCCAACTTACCAAGTTACCCTGGATCCCAGAGATAGTAGGAACTGCAGATGCTGGAGAATCCGAGACAACAAGGTGCAGGGCTGGATGAACACAGCAGGTCAAGCAGCATCATAGGAGCAGAGAGGCTGACGTTTCGGGCCTAGACCCTTCATCAGAAAAGGGGGAGGGGAAGGGGGTTTTGAAATAAATAGGGAGAGAGTGGGAGGCAGATAGAAGAGGGATAGAGGAGAGGATAGGTGGAGAAGAAACAAACAGGTCGAAGAGGCGGGGATGAGGCCAGGAAAGGTGAGTGTAGGTAGGGAGTTAGGAAGGGGATAGGTCAGTCCAGGGAGGACGGACAGGTCAAGGGGGCGGGATGAGGTTGATCGGTAGGAGATGGAGGTGCGGCTTGAGGTGGGAGGAGGGGATAGGTGGGAGGAAGAACAGGTTAGGGAGGCAGGGACGAGCTGGACTGGTTTTGGGATGCGGTGGGGGGAGGGGAGATTTTGAAACTTGTGAAATCCACATTGATACCATTGGGCTGCAGGGTTCCCAAGCGGAATATGAGTTGCTGTTCCTGCAACCTTCGGGTGGCATCGTTGTGGCACTGCAGGAGGCCCAGGATGGACATGTCGTCTGAGGAATGGGAGGGGGAGTTGAAATGGTTCGCGACTGGGAGGTGCAGTTGTTTGTTGCGAACCGAGCGTAGGTGTTCTGCAAAGCGGTCCCCGAGTCTCCGCTTGGTTTCCCCGATGTAGAGGAAGCCACACCGGGTACAGCGGATGCAGTATACCACATTGGCAGATGTGCAGGTGAACATCTGCTTGATGTGGAAAGTCTTCTTGGGGCCTGGGATGGGGGTGAGGGAGGAGGTATGGGGGCAGGTGTAGCACTTCCTGTGGTTGCAGGGAAAAGTGCCGGGTGTGGTGGAGCTGGAGGGGAGTGTGGAGCGGACAAGGGAGTCACGGAGAGAGTTGTCCCTCCGGAAAGCAGATAAAGGTGGGGAGGGAAAGATGTCTTTGGTGGTGGGGTCGGATTGCAGATGGCGGAAGTGTCGGAGGATGATGCGTTGGATCCGGAGGTTGGTGGGGTGGTACGTGAGGACGAGGGGGATTCTTTTTTGGTTTTTATTGCGTGGACGGGGTGTGAGGGATGAGGTGCGGGAGATGTGGGAGACACGGTTGAGGGCGTTCTCGACCACCGAGGAGGGGAAGTTACGGTCCTTGAAAAACGAGGACAACTGAGATGTACGGGAGCAGATGCGGCGGAGGCGAAGGAATTGGGAATAGGGGATAGCAAGTGCTTTTACCTTCTTTATCAGACTTCCACATGGGACCTTGTCAAAGGCTTTTCTGAAATCCAAATAAACTACATCAACTGCACTAGCCTCATCTACATAACTGGTCAATTCCTCAAAAAATTCCAGCAGATCTGTTAGGCATGACCTCCCTTTGACAAGCCATGTTGACTATCTCTGATCAAACCTTGCCTCTCTAAATGGAGATTCATTTTCTCTTTCATTATTTTCTCCAATAGATTCTCTACTGCTGATGTGAGACTGACTGGTCTATAGTTCCCTGGTCTATCTTTACAACCCTTCTTGTAAAGTGGAACCACATTAGCCGTCCTCCAGTTCTTCAGCCTCTCCCTGTCGCCAGGGATTGTTTAAAAAAATGGATCAGAGCCCCTGTGATTTCCTCCCTTGTCTCGCACTGTAGCCTGTATCCAGACCTGGGAATTTGTCCACTTTTAAATCTGTCAAAGCATCCAAAACCTCCTCACTCCTTCTATCAATCTGCTCAAAAACCTCACAGTCCAGCTTCTCGAATTCTGTACTTGTATCCTCCTGCTCCTGAGTAAAGACAGGTGTGAAGTGCTCATTTTACTCATTTCAAATGTCCTCTAGCATCGCACATCGACTGATCCTTGATCCCAGGCCCCAAGAAGACTTTCCACATCAAGCAGATGTTCACCTGCACATCTGCCATTGTGGTATACTGCATCTGCTGTACCCGGTGTGGCTTCCTCTACATCGGGGAAACCAAGCGGAGACTCGGGGACCGCTTTGCAGAACACCTACACTCGGTTCGCAACAAACAACTGCACCTCCCAGTCGCGAAC